TTTACAAAATTTTAAATCCCCTTTTTTTTTTTTTTTTTTTTTTTTTTTTTTTCCTGCTGAAGAAGGGGAAAGGAGCTGCCGGCTGCATGGAAGCATTTATGCTTTATCCAGAAAAACCTTTAAAAGCTGAGACAAGGCACACGTTGCAGCGTCCAGGGGAACCCAGGCTGGTCTCCTCCCCGTGCCCAGCTCCCTCGTACTGGCACGCTAGCAGGAAGAAAGATGCAGTCACCCTTGCTGCATATTCTGGCAGGGTTATTGTCAACTTATTATTTTTTGACTCAAAGCCAAAAAATGAAGGGCATTTGCATCTTGCAATTTTGCTGTTTGCTTGTCTTGCTTATGTTGCTGGAAATGACCTACAAGGAGTCAACAGCAGGCAGCGAGGACGGTACGGGAGCGGAAAAGAGATGAAGCTGAAAAGTTCATGTCTCACTTTAAAACATCCCACAATATTTGGTTAGCGGGAAGGGAGCAATTAAAAAGCACATGGATGTTTCCTTTATAGATTTATTCCAAATTTGCAGGGGTTTGTGTCATAAGAGGGGATTTGGATTTCTCCCTGGAAAAAAAAATAAAAATTATATCTACAATTAAAATAAATATAGCAGCACAAATGGGATTTGGATTTCTCCCCGGAAAAAAAAAATAAAAATTATATCTACAATTAAAATAAATATAGCAACCAGATGCTAGACCTGTGCATGGAGATGACTCTCATTAACATCCGTGCAGTCAATGCAGAGGAAGGGACCACCTTGCTTGCCTTTCCTTTGTTTTATCTTGCACCTTATCTTAACAACATCATTTCACATCTTAAAGTCTGAGGATACTTTACTGGAGGGCAGCAGAATTTGCATAGAAGTGATAATGAAACTGCACGAATATAATTTACTGTAAGTGGCACTGTATTATAAAACAAAGAAAAGGTGAGGATCTTTGTGAAATACTGCCTCGCACCAAAAAAAAAAAAAAAAGTCCTGAGAATAATATCTTCTTCTTAAAGACAGTTTTGCATAATTGCTCTGTACGTCTGGCAGGGCTGGAATATACTTTTTCCTTTAGGTGTCAAAGACTCGGCATTGACTGAAGGAGCAGTGCACTCTGCAGTCTTTGGTGCAATGCCTGGTGCATTACGCTCACGGCGCGAGACACCTCCTCTGCGCTTAGGAAATGGTTAATTTTCAAAGATAAGAAGAGAGTTGCCGTACAGCAATCAAATGGAAGCTAATGCACACCTAAGGCTGCAGGCAGCAGCTCTCTGGGCTGTCGGCATCACACCAAGAGTGGAAAAAAAAAAGAAAAGAAATAAAAGAAACCTGAATTTTAACTATATTTTAGCTATATTCTCCATCCACACACCCCTCTGCTCTGATGACAATAAAACTGGACACACACATCTATGGTGGCCCACACTCTTCCAGCCTTTTCTCAGGTACTGGAGCACCTGGAAAAGAAAGAGAGGAAAAAAGCACTAGTTTTGCAAAAGAGGGGTCCTCTCTCTCCTGCCTCCTTCCCGGGAATAATCTTATCAAAGTCCCCAGAGTTATTTGCCTGCATGCAGGCAGCGGGACTTGATGGAGGAGGAGAGCAATAGGGACAGGCAGCCTGCAAATAATGCGGGTGCAGGACGTGTGGAGACCCAGCCCTGACTTGCTGCCCAATTTGGATGCAATGAGCCACCCCGAGGGATGCAGAACACCTATAACTTCATTTACCTCATTGGCTTCGGGTGCCCCGGTGAAAGCAAAAGCAGAATCCAACAGCGTTGCAACCACCCAAACCCCCGTTACCAGCAAATCTCTCCTTGAAATGTCTTATCTCATCAAAGGTTCGTTTCCAAGCCGCTGTGGTTGTCCCCTCGTGCCACGACCCTGTCACCAAAGCCAGCGATGTTCTGGTGACCTATATCTCAAGGTCGTGGTTTTATGAACTTGGAAAATGTGTTTGTTATTCCTCCTCTTTTAAACACACTTCTAGGTGAAACCCCTGGAAGAAAGCCTTACGCTGCAGCTGCCTTTTGGGCTTAACCTGGGGGATTTTTCAGGTTGGATCACTTTTCTCAAGGTATAGTGTTCTTGTTAGGTGGCATCTTTTCAAGGCAGGTCACATCCTTTCAAGGCAGGTCACATCCTTTCAAGGCAGGTCCCATCCTCTGTTCTAGGTATGAAAACAGCCGGGGGTGGCATCTTTCTGGGTCACATCCTTTCAAGGCAGGTCACATCCTTTCAAGGCAGGTCCCATCCTCTGTTCTAGGTATGAAAACAGCCGGGAGCTGCACAGAACGAGGGGCTGCTAAACAAGGCTCTCAGGGTTAGTTATCATGAGGAAAAATAAAATAAAAGAGAAATGGTCATGTAATTAGTAATTACTGAGCACAACATTCAGACCGATGCTCAGGCAGATCCCTCCAGCCAATGTGGAGGCTCCGTTGGAGACACAGACAAAGTGTTCTCAGTTCCCTTCTTCTGCGAACGACTCTCCATATCCTCCGCTTTGTGATTATTTATTTCTGAGATGAGTAATTATCAACCCTAGAGAGAGAGCCACTGCAGCGTGAAGCGGGGCGAAGCTCCGACGAGCAGGAGAGCTGCCTTTCACCCGCTGCAAGGGTGCACCTACCCTGCCAATGTCAACCAATGCCACCTGCAGCTGAAACGGGTCTTCTAAAGACAGGCAAGCCCCCAAAGGGGGTGAAACCACAGTGTGTCTCTCTCTTTTAGAGGTTAAACTCTTTTAGAGTCAACGGGAGGCTAAAATAGCAGCTCTGCTCAAGGGGCAGGGAAGGCTTCAGCATCCCAAAGGACTTTCCCTGCCCCTGGAATGGAGCAGGAAGGCTGGAGCTCGTTTACACTCAGTGTAAGCAGCCACAGCTGCCCCCAAAGGGTGTCCCACCCCCCCCAGCTGATGACAATGTGGTCACACAGAGGTCATTTTAAAGCACAGCGTCAGTGATTGCCCCTTCCAAAAATAGCGAGGTAGAGGGACAGCCCGAGGTGCTGTGTCCTCTGGAGGCTCTACAGGAGAGAGAAGTCCCTGGGTGGCTCCTTGGGGAAGCAGGACGGGGACCGGCAAAGCCCCCGGACACCAATTGCTGACTCAGCAACTTCAGGCAGTGGAGGGAGGGGGAAAAAAATGATTCCAGGAGGTTAAATTGATCGCCAGGGAGGTCCTACAAACTTGTCAGCCTCTGAGCGGCTCAACTTCATTTAAGTTATTTCAAGGCAATTCCAGGAGGGCAAAGAGGAGAGAGGCACCGGAGCCACCGACCGCCAGCGTGAGGCTGCTCTTAAAGAGCTCACTCGCATTTTCCCAGGTCCTTTTCTTTTCCACTTCTTTTTCAAGGGGTAAAATCCCTTGCACATAAAAGCCTCTGGTTTTGGTGTTTGGTTTTTTTTAAATTATTTTTCCGTTTTAATGCATAGGTGGATGTCGAGTGGGGCAGGATCTGGCCCACAGCCTGAGCCCTGTGTTGGTGAAGCAGCAGCATCACTGGAGGAACTGCCTTTCAGAGACCCCCCCGTGACAGCAGGAGCACTGCTGTTAACTATTGCGCTGTTGGAGACCAAACAAATTACCTGAGTGGCTGCTCGGGGGCACTTGGGCTGTGGAGGAAGCGGATGATGTACTATTTGCCAGATATTTTCATAAGTAGGAGATAAGAGAGGCTGGAGGAGAGCGAATCGATGCCTTTTTTAGATCTATGGTGCTTGAGGCATCTGTCAATGCTGGAGAGTAAATATTTACTTTCCAACATAAAGTCCATATAATCACTTTTCTATCCGTCACTTACTGCTTCTGAGTGTTTCTTACTACGATGTTGATATTTGCATTAGCTACTTACAGGGGCTATAAGATTCATACAGTTGTCAACTGCATTTAGACTTCAGCTGAAGATCCCGGGTCCTGTGCTGCAGCTGCTGCGACTGCTAATGGCAATGGAAAAGAGAAAGCTGAGAGATTTCCCACAGCAAATAGCAGGCAGAGATAAAGACGGAGCTACGGCACGAAGGTTACAATAATAGGCTCTCTTGCGCTCATTAAATTAAGAATCCCCTCGGATCCACGGTGTGCAGATGCAGGCAAGAGACAGAAAGCTATACATAGTGAGGAAGACTTAAATTTGGGGAAAGGAAGCGTTACTAAGCCCATTTTATTGGGGGAGGAACTGAGGCACGGAAGCAGAAAGTGACCTTGCTCAAGGTCAGATGCAGAATTTTCTCAGAGGATGAGGAGCTGAACCCAGATCTAGAGACCGGGGGCTCAGGAAAATGCCCCAGGACCATTCCTGCTCCTTGGATGCTCAAAACTGGCAGGAAATCACTCATGCAAATGTGTTAATGTAGGTAGAGAGAAGAAACAATGTTGTTTGACCTGGGCAATGCCCAGGGCTCCCAAAACTCCAGCAGGGATGGAGAGGAGAGAGCCACAGCCAGCATCGGGCATGGCTGATGGCCCGGAGGGGACACTGCCACAGCCACCGTGTCACTACTAGGAGATACCAAATGAGCCAAACTAAAAGTTGCAGAAATTACCCCAAATATAACGCAAAAAAGTCTGGAATAGCAACTACCACCTCAACCACCAGAAGTGACTCTCAGCCCCTTTGCAAGTGGAAGGAGGCCCAAGAAGCACCCTGTCTGTGTGACTCCAACTTTGTGCTCCTGTAGGATTTGTTCCTAGTGTTTGGAACAGCCCGAGTGGCCCATGGGGTCTGGCTTTTTTTTCAGGACAGAGTGTTCCTCCAGCAGAACTCGGGTTTTTGTGCTGCCTGTGGAAGTCTCTGGTGCAAGATGTGTAAGACCCCTCTGCTTCAAGAGGTTTCTCCTCATTTTTCAAAGCGCCGAGGGCAGGTGGAGGTTTGGGCTGAAGGTGGGTGCTGGTGGGGAAGGCTCTGCCTTGCCTGGTGCCCCCCTGCTGGGGTCAGCACCCAGGGAGCTCCCTCAGCATCACCCAAACTGTGGGGCTGGAGAGATGAACCCCTTGCAAATGGGCAAAGATTAATTCTCAAACTTGTGGAATAACCCCACCAAAACCCCAGCCAAACAAACAAACAAACATGGTTTATGGCTTAAGGAGGCCCCAACAATAAGCTTTGCTGGGACATCAATCTCAGCTTGTGTCTCCCCTGTGCAGGGACCGCCATGGGCCAGATCCTGGCAGAGTTATTCCTGCTGGCTCCCACCTCTCTTTACCAGCACTAATTCAAACTGATGGAGCTCTTCATACAGAAAAAGCTGCCTCTCAGTGTGCGGGTGCAGGACGAGGCCAGCAGATCAGCGTTTTGTGCCTGCCTGCTGCTTTCCCCCCCTCCCTCCCCACTCTTCCCTCTCTCCCCCCCATCCTCCCCGCAGCCAGTGGTCAGCGTTCTCACCGCCCCGCCGTGTTGACATGCCTGAAATATCTCTGCTTCGCTGCCCGGGCTCTTGGAAGCGTTTTGCTGCTCTCTCACCTCTCCAGGAGAGAGACACATTCATCTGTCAGCTTATCGGAGGAATTTCCAACAATCTGTGGCAACGGTACAAGTCTCAATCTTGCTGTAAGTACCTGGAGCCAATTAGCATACACCATGTTTGCTTCTCACACAGTGCACCAGTGGCCTAAGGGCTTCCTTTTTTTTCCTCTACATCATCTTTTTTTTTTTTTTTTTTTTCAATACACATGCCATGAAAAAAAAATGAAAAGGTTTTTTTTTTTTTTTTTTTTCCCCTTCTTCATTATTTATTTATTTATTTTGCAGGACTGATAGCAAATAGAAGTACACAGCAGCACCCGCCCGGCATAGATGGGGCACGAGAGAGGATCCGGATGGATCAGTGAGGATTCATCTTCTCCCAATGAATCCCTCAGTCGCCCCCGGCCCCACGCTGCTGGTGGGGGAGAGATGAGGGTCTGGCGGGGCTGAGAGGGGGGGTCCTGGTGGCAGTGGGAGGAGGGGGGCGGTGGGAGAGGTCCCGGTGATGGAGAGATGTGGAGGGATGGAGGGATGGGGGG